AACCCGCACGATGTGCGGGATTGATATATATACATTTATAAACAATATTTGAAATTACAATTCGCTAAATGTAAATGAAATTATTTAGTTTGTAATAAAAAATATTATCATAAATAATAAAAAGAGCAATGATCCTGTCTATGATTGATAACTTATAATTAAATGAGATAGTGACTCGTGAAAAGACATAAGCACTCAACTAAATTCATAGCTACCAATATCATAGGTGACTGTTAAGTAAATATACGCGTGATATATCAATCACTAATTCATTTTACGTTTGATTTTCACGATATCTAAGAACAATTAGATGTGAAAAGAAATTTTAGGAGTTTAAAGAATACAATGGTCTGTTGCGGAAGGTTGAGATTACTCGAAATTGGGCAGTAGTATATGTTTGTAACTACAAAGGTGGCAATTTTGAAGAATTTTTGGCGGGTGAACGAAATAATCTCTATAGATGGAAAATTATGTAATGGAAACAATTAATGTTAGAGTGACAACCTCAAAGTTAATTTGTCGTAATGTATGAATTAGGATAATATTATATTGTCAAATTGGAATTTAAATAATTTATTTTCACTAATCAAAGAATTACCAAAATATAGTGTAAGGTTTCTCCCTTTTCATTTTATTTCAATATTATATATGATTGATTGTAAGATTTCTCATGTCTAATTATATCTTAAAGATTGGATTTACAATTCTTAATTGGGGATGCGTTATAGAAGATGGGACAAAATAGTATTTTAAGCTCAATGATTTTCGACGCAAGTTTAGTTAAATTCAAATTGGACTAATTGATGTCGAGTGTTTTTTTTTTTTTTTTGGTTGGCTTTTATTTAAAATATGAGAATTATTTGAAAGTTTTTGTGGTGAGTGCAGAATATTTGTGAAGTTACTATAGTAGTGAAGTATGCTATCATTTATAGGGTTCTTTAGGATTTTTCCCCCGAATTATTTGGATTTCGGAATCATGTCGAAATTTCGATTGATTTTAGTTTAAAATAATTAAACTTTCCTTTTGTTTTTTTTTTTTTGAAAGGAAACTTTCCTTTTGTTATTATTTAAGAATGCAAATTCTTAAATTAATTAGATTTGAATAAATCATGAATGTAGCCATGATTTGTCATTTAGTTCGTGCATTAAAGGAAAATGTTGTCACCAAATTAAGATGATTTTTCTTTAAAAAATGAGACCATTTAATACTAAAATTAAATAATTTGAATAATTATGGTGATTGGGGTGATTTGATATTATTAATAAGTTTCAAGGATAGCATAAATTCTGAAACTATTTTATCTCAAAATTTTGAGAAATTTATATGTAGGATTTTGCCTTACTTGACACTCTAAAATTATGTTTTATTTTCTCTCTGGTTTCTATTCTTTTAGTATAATACTATAGATAGATAGATTATATATATGATATTTTATTCCAAATTTTTATATTAATTTTCTACTCAAAATACTAACCCGTCTAATCTTTATATTTTAAGTTTTCCAACATGAAACAAATTTTTGGACGAATTAAGAATTGTTTTCTCCTTTTGTTTATTATCACAACATCACTTAAGTATCTATGCGATTAATGTGATTACTCTTGGCCAAACCCATCGTATCTAAGTATGTAATTGAAACCGAACCCATCGTTTTATACATCTAAGAATTTTTTTATTCATAATGCGCATTCTTCATATTGTATTAATGATGGAATGGAAAATGATACTACCTGGTTTCAGGTTTTTTGTAATATTTTATTTTGTTTTTGTTTGGTACGGTAAACACATTATGTATCCAAGAACCAATATGATTGTTTTTTAAAATACTTACTAATGAAATAAAAACACTCACGGTAATAAATTTTGACATGAGTGAAATCCTGATCTGTGCAAAATGCAAACAATGATGGCATAGAATCATTTATTGAAAACTTTCTTTATTACAAAGGTAATATTTCAAAATAACAAATTCATCAATATCTTTAGATAATTCCACAAATCAACATCCCAAAACTTCCAAAGTGCCCCCTCCCCCAAAGCCATTGTCTTCTTCTTCATGATCAAATACGATTGCCTGTGAAATGATCAAATACGATTGCTTGTGAACATTTGAAAATTGAGCATTTTCAGGACGGACGACTTGTTGTGGCTTCCTTACCTCTTCTGAGAATGCTATCATTGTCGTTAGGCTGAGTTTCGAATTTTTAATTCTATTGAAAATAATATTCCCTTTGTCCAAAAAAAAAATTCATATTAAGTTCTAAGATTTGTACTAAAAATAATATCAATTTTAAAACTCAAACCTTTTTTGGGACATAGGGATAAATTTTTAGATAGGAACCTTTAACATATCCAAAAATTTTGCATTAACCTTCCAAGATGCAGAAACTTAAATTATAAAGTAAACCTAACATCTCACTTATTCACCTTAAAGGGTGTAATGGTATGAAATTCTTGCATATCATATCTCCGTTCATACAGAAATTAAAAAAAAAAAAAAAATTGAAACTTAACTTACCCAGAAAGTAAATGATATGATGTTAACACACACATTTTTCCTACCATATTTGGCCTAAAATCACGTATGGATCATCTTTGAAATATGTAGCGGAAGAACACTCCTCATCATAACTTGCAAAACCTGAAATTGAAAAAAGAGAAAAAAAAATAAAAAATAAAAAAGAGTACACATTTCATCAATGTAAGGTTTCTTATTTTTTCAATCATTTTCTTTTTTTTTTTTTTTCACAATTCATACCTACAAATCACACAAATCAATCTTTATTTTCAAATCTGAACGTTGGAACAAAAAAAAATCAAACCTAATCAAAGGGCTATATTGCAGTGAATCTGGCTGGTCGATTTTCATCGGCATCTTTTTTTTTGTAATGCAAAACACAATTTCACTGATAAAAATTATGCACTTCATCATTAGAGATAAAGGTGGTAGGAGAAGAGAGTAGAATGAGAGAGTATGGTAATAAATTTTGGAATTTATGTTTTCAACACCGATCTGGGCAAAATCGACCAGAAAAAGGTTATTTGTAGCTTAGGGAGATCATCGTATACACATAGCATATTATCATCAGTGATTCATATTGATCTTTTTATTATTATTGATTGATTAAATATATCGATCTTTTTAATTAATATAATACGATAGCAACATTTACTCCTGAATTTTAGGAAGTGCAGAGTACTAACTGTTATCACTAATTATGGGGATATTTATTATCTGGAAAAAATCTAGAGTCTCGTTGACCAATTTTACGGAACCGTACCGTTTTATCTTCAACCAATCAATACTGTGTAATCATGGGGTGAGAAACATTCTACAATTTCTCAAACTAATTACTCTTTTGGTATCATGGTCTTTTATATTAGGCCAAATGCACATTTTGGTTTTATAAATTAACATTTGGCTAAAATAGTCTTTTATATTTTTATTTGTAACTTTTTTTGTTCTTTGGCACTATTCCAAGAATTTGACTTTTACCATCTTTATTCCAAGAGTTTGACCATATTTAAGTCAATAGGGTATTTTTGGAATAAAAAATATTTATTTTTCAAAAAAATTAATATTGAATAAAATATTAATACAAATATTAAAGTAATTATATTCATAAAAATAATTATGAATTAAAATAAATATTAAATTAACAAAAAGTTAAAAATTTTAATTTTTGAAACTCAAATGAAATTTTTTTAAAAAATAAATGTACCTTCGTTGCACAAATTTTGATATAATTTTTAATTTTGTGCGCTTATAATAAAGTAAAATATTACTTTTACAACAAGTTCTGATAAGAATAATTAAGTTAAAATTTAAGATTTTATTCTAATCTAATTTCTTATTTTGGATATGTTTTAATTTATGAAATTGTTGTGAGTTATATTTACCTATTAGTAGATTCTAACAAGAAATTGTAGAATCTACAAAATATAGGATGAAATAGAATGAAAATTCTACAGTGATGGGCTGGAATTTAAAAAGTACGTCAAAATTTTTTTAAAAAAATTAAATTTTGATTTTTTAAAAATAATTTTTTTTATTAATATTATATTATTTTATCAGTTGTGAATTCAATTTTTAATTAATTTAGTATTATTTTATTTAATTTTAATTTGTTAGAAAATAAATATTTTCATTGTAATTGATAAAATATAAGATCAAAATTTTACAGTGATAGACTTGGGTTGAAAAAAAGAAAGAAAAAGTTTTTTAAAAAACTTAAACTTAAATTTTTTAAAAATAATTTTTTATTTATTTTATTTTATTTTATTGATTTTGAAAATTCTATGGGTATATTTTAGAACAACTAAAATCGTTGGGGTAAAGATGTCAAAATTATGGGGTCCGCAAAAACTTTTTCTAATAAAAAAACTGTAGAAAGTAACGAAATGTTAGTAGAGGTATTAAATCTTACTGAATTTTTATCAATTGGCCAGAAATTGAAACTTAGATTATGTATTTGGCTTCCCAAAAATCTTTTGGGTCAAAATTGGCCAGACACTTAAAGTTTTGGGTAAAATTGACTATTTTCTTAAATTTTTTCTGTTTAATCATGTGGATTTAGGTGTATTTACTTATGATGCACCCTCATTTTAATCCTACGGTTATTAATTAGTCTAATTAATCCTACGGTTATTATCCTAAAATGGAACCGTCCCGTAACGGGACTCTAGTCGCTCCCTTATTATCTTTTAAATATGGTTAATGCTGCACAGATCTTATCTATTCGGATAGAGTTTTTAGCTCACTTTTAATAAAATTTGAGGACTTCTTCACAATTTCACTAAAATATTTTTTGAAGATTACATTATAAAATTACACGTAGGATTTTTTCCTATGTGACATATGTTAGAAATCAACTTTGTTTTCTCTCCGGTTTCTCTCTTAGTATAATACTATAGATAACCGATAACGTTCTTTATGAAAGATGTATTTTTTCAATCTCAAATGATCGAGACATTATGATCAAAGATTTATGTAGGAGATAAAAGATGCGATGATATTAACACCTGAGAGTAAGAGTAGAAGAATTATAAAAAAACTATGGCTAGAAGATAGTAACAGTATAAAAGCACATAATTCTGAATTTCTGATTAAAGTCAGAACAATTTATTCAAAGAAAATGACATCAAAATTGCAGCACCAACCATCATGCTTATGATAGTGTGGTTCATCCCTACTGAGAGATGCTGCATTTTTCCACATTTCATGAACCACATCTGATATTCTATACAGCTAAGCTGATGAGAGCTTCAATATATATAATAATCAAATGATAGGATAAAATTTTTTTTTCCCCTCTTTTTTTTTTAGAAATTTTTTTACAGAATACGTAGGTTCATAAGGAAAGCAAAGCAGTTTATTTTTTTTTCTTCTACAATGTAGAGATAAAATGAGCCCTGTTTTGTCCGTTCTTCATCACATCTTTATCCAACATTCCAACAATTTTGTACAAAAGTTCACAAAATTTAATGTAGGAAAGAATGTTGCTGATTGATCCCTATATTGAGTCCATACTTCAATTTTGTGTGGAAGCAATCAGGTCCTCCTCCTCTCTATCTTTGTTCTTTATGATCTCTTATACTGTATAATGTTGTTGGATGGTGTCAATGTCCAGTCCCTTTAGCTTCACAACTGATTCAACATGGCCCTTAAGAGTGTGAAGCTCCCTCAGCCTGCATCATTGACCTTTGTCAGATCATAAAAGTGTGTCAAGGAGAAAAATTTTGTGGCAATTGGAAGTGTAATACAGATCTTGTAATTTTCTGTTGAAAAATTAGGACCCTTCAAATTGTTTTGATGATTTCTTCTAAACCTAATCATAACAGCATTGGTTTCAGATCACCGGTATGTATATGTCATACCTTGCAACCTCAGCCCTTCGCTTTGCTTGCTCGGCGATTTCAGATAATTCTCTGTAGTTCTTTTCATTGAACAAGGCACTAGATTCTGGTGTTTGAAGACCGTGAAGTGTACGTTGAGCCATTGCCCATTGTGCTTCTCTCTCACCCCTTCCGTAATCCTTCTTGGTTGTGAAAGCAGTCTAAGTTGTCCAAACAAGTGTCGAATTGATCAGAAATGTGATTATCAGACACTGAGTAACAACCCACATTGTAGCCTTTGAGAAATGATGTTAAAAGTATTTCAAGTTTACCTTGTTCTGGATCATTGAATCCCAAGCCTTGCCAGTCAATGCGTAACGAATGATGAACTTGAGTACATCAAGAGGGAAGTAGGTGACAACGCTGTAAATCCAGATGACTCCTGCCCATCCCCATCCAACGCCTTGGATCCTAGCAAACGCCCAGGTTGCATAGACAGCAATCAATGTAGCCAACTAAATTCAACAACAATATAAGAAGATATAGTTAGGCCAACTTTCCTTTGTAGTTTGTATGAGGTGATTTAAATGAGCAATTTATTGAAGCATTGAAGTACTATGGAACTCAACAAAACTTACCAACTGAGCAATGAGGAAAGCAGTCAGAAGCAAGATACCAGGGCGCTCAACAAATGACCAACTCCTTGATCTAGTGACAAAGATAAGTGCCTGACTGATGATGCTAACTTGGAGGTAAAGAGCAGCAGTTAGTTCATCAGGGTGAGCTCTGATTGATCTGACCTTGAATACATTCTGCATAGGGGAAAACATAAATTTAATTAGTTTCTATTCTTGTTTTTCCCTGCAAGATTTATTGATAGAGAAAAGTTTACGACATACGGAGAAGAAATCAGTATCAGCTGCAAGGTAAAAGAACACCACTGTCATGATCGCAAGGTAGGCTCCTAGAACAACACCAGTGGCGAAAATTTCTTTGAGCTTCCATGAATCAGGCACAGGAGATGGCTTGACTCTATCCTTGGAGATAGTCATAATGGTTCCGTCATTCAAGATGGCGATGATCAGGACCATGAAAGGAGAGAAGTCGAACTTCCAGATGAGGGCGATGAGTAAGAAGCCGAACACAATACGGATTGTGATCGAAACTGCATAGATGGTGTAGTTCTTCATCCTCTGGAAGATGGCTCTGCTTGTCAAGACAGCGCTCACGATCACACTAAGTCCTGGTTCAGTCAAAACAATGTCGGACGCACTCCTGGCAGCATCTGTTGCATCAGCAACAGCGATACCAATATCGGCCTTCTTCAGTGCTGGAGCATCATTCACACCATCTCCTGTCATTCCACAAATGTGCTTCCTCTCCTGCAACTTCTTCACAATTTCATATTTGTGTTCTGCACAGATAAATGGCGTTAGTTTTGCACACTTTCAATGTCAACATTAAATGGCAGGAGACAAGTGAATGAATTTACCAGGGAACACTCCAGCAAATCCATCAGCCTTCTCAATGAGCTCTTCAACTGGGATTCCAGCAATTGACTCATCCTTGCACTGGCCTAAGAGGGAGGAAGAGGGGTACATGTTGGTGCCCATACCAAGCCTGCGACCAGTTTCTTTACCGATAGCTAGCTGATCACCAGTGATCATTTTTACGTTGACACCAAGATCAAGAGCTTTGCGGATGGTCTCTGCACTGTCATGTCTTGGAGGATCAAAAAGAGGCAACAAACCAACGAATTCCCATGGTTCACCTGCACTCTCTTTAGTCTTCTCTGATACAGTCTGCATAAGGTTATTATTACAAATAAAATTAGAGCAAGGAAAAGATTCAACAATGTGGTTTCTGAGCACAGGGGGAACTGATAAGTAGATGAGTCCATATTCCAAAAATGGCTCACCTGTCTTGCAACACCAAGAGAACGAAGGCCACGGTTGGCAAAATCGTCAATGATAGCATGAGCCTTCTTCAAAGTCTCTCCTTTAAGGTTGCAAAGCTCAATAATCTGGTCAAGTGATAAGTATTAGATTGCAGGTCAATGGCACAATGTCGCCACTGTGTTGGAATGGGAGAAAAGAAAAGAAAGAGTTGATGAAAATCTTACTTGCTCAGGAGCACCCTTGCTGCTTCTGTGCCAGTTGCCATCGGCATCAACATAGGTAATTGCAGTTCTTTTATCCACAGGATTGAAGGGTAGGAAGTGCACCTCAGTGATTCCTGCTCTTGCCTGAAAATAAATGAAACAGTACATATATTCTTACACTTCAAGCGCGAGGGGGAAAAAAAAAACCATTGAAAGAAAGGCCTTTTTAGTATATGACAAAATCCAATTTAGTACCTCCTTGGGGTCGCTCAACATATTCACAATTGAAGCATCAATGGCATCCTGATTTTCGGTTCTGGAGGCCCTGGCAGCATACAAGGTAACGGAATCCTTGTCCATGTTCTTGGCGAACACCTCGATCAATTGCTTGTCGACGGTTAGCTTGTTCAAGGTAAGGGTACCAGTCTTGTCACTGCAGAGAACATCCATACCAGCCATCTCCTCAATAGCTGTCATCCTCTTGGTGATGGCACCTTGCTGTGATAGCCTATGTGATCCAATGGCCATTGTTACAGACAAAACTGTTGGCATGGCAATTGGAATACCTCCAATGAGCAACACCAGCAAATTGTCAATTCCTTCTCTGTACCTCCTGTGTTGGATTGGGTACATCACCACAATCTCAATGGCCATACCCAGGGCAATGGAGCAGATACAGAAATTACCAATGGAAGTCAAAACCTGTCAAAAAAAAAAAACAAAAAAACCAAAACATAAGTTGATAGAGCAGAATGTTATATTACTCTTAGATCAAAACTGATACTAATGACATCCATTATTATTTACCTTTTGGAAGTGACCAACTTGGTTGGTGCTATCAACAAGATGTGCAGCTTTGCCAAAGAAGGTGTGGACACCGGTGGCAATGACCACGGCTTCGATTTCACCTTGTTTGCAGGTAGAACCAGAGAAAACTTCTTGACCAGGGTGCTTCGTTACTGGTAAGGATTCACCAGTAAGGGCAGACTGATCAATCTTTAAAGGATCTCCTTCCAAGAGACGTGCATCGGCCGGGATAATATCCCCCAATTTCACACTGATCAAATCTCCTGGAACAAGGATAGCTGCTTCCTGCTCACTCCATTTTCCATTTCTCAAAACCTTCAATACAATGCACATATAAGATTGATCAGCCAAACCCTTCTATTTTCAGAACACAAAAGCTTCAAGTAAACATGCATTTTATACCTACCTTGGTTTTAGGTGCAAGACCGGCCATAAGAGCGGCAGCAGCATTGCCTGCATTGTTTTCCTCAATGAAACTAATTGTAGAGTTGATGATAAGCAAGGCGATGATACCGACGAAATCTTGCCAATCCGGAGGCTTGCCCTGCATTTCGTCCATATGACAACAGAGAATAATATAGTTCATTAAAAAACATGCACCAAGGAATGAAGTTGGCCACTTTTTAAGATCAAAATTTCCAGATTTGAATTTCACATTACCCCTCCATTTGCAAGAACAATGGCCATGATGGCAGCACATTCCATAACCCATGAGAGAGGATTCCACATGAAGCCCAAAAACTTGAGAACCTTGCTTTCCTTTTAAAAGAAAAAAAAAAAAAAACCATTTTTGTTCCATTCAGTCAAAGATTATGAATAGAAAAGCAATCAAAAAGGGATCAATTTTAACAAACCTTTTTCTCCTCAAGCTTATTGGGGCCAAAAATTTCAAGCCTTTTTGCCCCCTCATCATCTGTCAAACCTTCCCTGGTACATTTTAGCTGTACAAACACCTCATCAATAGGGATGTTTTCCTGCAGACCACCAAAAAACCCATCAAATCAGACCAAAAAGACTCAAACTTTTTCCTCATTATTATGCATGATATAGGCTGATAATCAACTGATTACTACTACTTACAAGATCAACTTGCTCATTTTTAATATCCTCTAAAGACTTTTCAGAGGCCATGATTGCTATATACAATCAAGTATTTTTCCCTTTTTTTTTCTTTTCCTTTTATTAAAAGATGTTTGATTAAGAACAGAGGAAGAAAGATAAAGAGTATAAATAATATCTCTCTATCTCCCTTCCTTCAGGGCTTAGAAGAAATATCCCTGGGGTTATTGCCTTTGCTTCCCTGCTTGAAACATGGAAAAATTTTCTGCAATTAATGGGAAAGAATAAGACTTGGGAAGCAACGGTATTTAGAGAGTCCCATTTTTTGGGTTGAACATGCGAGGATTTGGGAGCACCCTTTAATTGTGCTACAATGGCGGATTATCACACACAAATTCAATTCATCATGACCCTGTAAAAAAAAAAAAAAAAATTTATCCATTTTTTGCATGTGACCTTTTTATTTGGTTGCCATGAAAGAGAGAGAATTTGGTTTTTCAAGTTTCTGGATTCAAACATAAATTGTGGATATTTTGTTAGGCAGTGATAATCACTAAACCCGTGCTTAATTAATTCTAATTAAAATGTGTTGAACCAAATGGATTTTTTTTTAATTATCTTTACTGTGGTTTAATTACACACCATATTGTATATACTTTACAATTTTTTTTTCTTCTTTTTCTACATTGGATAATCTAGTAACATTCAAAAGAGTCAAATTGCTCGCGAGAGACTTGATTAAACTTAGTCGTGTGAGGTGAAATAAATAAATGCAATCGGAGATTGAATATCGAAATGTTGGGTCGCGACCTGACGCTAATCTCATGTGCATAAATTTCACCTTGAGGCTGTAGTTCGGGGGGTACTAAAAAGCGTTAAGCGTTATCGTCTTCATATTGAATTTGAAATCAAAATTAAAATTTGAATCCACATTTGATTTTAATTCTAAAACCAAAGGGAAGATAAAAAAAAAAAAGAAAAAAAGAAGTAGTAGTAACATTAAACACTAAGAACGAGATTAGCAGAAGATGCATACATTCATTTGAACACGGGAAGAGGCAATAACCTAGTTGATCTAACTACTCATACAACAAAACATATACTTCCCTCTCAGGGTCTTTTCCATAAAAAAATTAATTAAATAAAGGTGGACAAATTTAAAATTTTCAGAGTATTTGAGGGCAAGAATATATCCCACGGATTTCCGAAATCTGAGTTATAATTAAAATTAAACATTCGGATTTCGGAAATCCGAATTTACATTTAATAATAAAATAATAATTAAATAAATTTTGTTGAATAATAGTTTTTAAAAAATCTTACATGAACAGTATCGTTCGGATTTGCGTAATCCGAGTCCCATTAAAAAATAATAAATTGAGACGCGAAATATTTGAACTCAAATAAGGAGGAGTCCAGGACCTGTATTCCTTAAATAACTAGTAGTACTCGGATTTCTGAAATCTGAGTTCTCAAAAAGAAAAAAATAAAATAAAATAAAATCAAGGCGCGAAATTTTTGAAATCAAAGAACTAGAATACTGTAATCCGGTTACATGTATTAGCGTTATGTACTATTTGTACGTACTAGTATTATGTAATACATTAATACTATTATCCATTATACATTACTGGTATCAGTGTTACTTATTATTGTTAAATCTATTAGTTATTAAATATTATCTTAAATTCAGTATAATTCATTTGTATTAGTGTTATATACTATTTGTACGTACTAGTATTATGTAATACATTAATACTATTATCCATCATACATTACTGATACTAGTGTTACTTATTACTGTTACATCTATTAGTTATTAGATATTATCATTAATTCAGTATAATTCATATGTATTAGTGTTATGTATTATTTGTACGTACTAGTATTATGTAGTACATTAATACTAATATTCATTATACATTAGTGGTATTACTGTGATTTATTATTGTTAAATCTGTTAGTTATTAAATATTATCATTACTTCAGTATAATCTATCTGTACTACTGTTATGTACCTTTTAAGTAAATAGTCGCATTTTTAGAATCTAAGTCAAGCAAAAAATTAAATTTTCAAAATAAGGCCATAGGGTTTAGGGGTTAGGGTTTAACTTCGGATTTCCCAAATCCGAGTGTTACTTATGCTCGGATTACCAAACTCCGAGTGCAACATATACTCGGATTACCAAAATCTGAGTGTAACATATACTCGGATTTAGGGTTTAGGGTTTAGGTTCGGATTTCTAGAATCCGAGTTTATCAGGGAAACATAGAAGATTCAAATTTCGGAAATCCGATTCGTATCCAAAAAATTACGAACACTTGTACAAAAAAATTTTTCCCCAAAAATTAATATTTTAATCATAAACTCGGATTTTCAAAATCTAAATTCTGATTAATTATGCCAGATTAAAAATTTACTTAGTTTTAGTTTTAATTAAAATGAATTCGAATTTTCAAAATCCGTTTTCTATTGAATTCGGATTACTGAAATCCGAATTTATCCCGGATTCGAATTTTAGAAATCCGAAGGATATAGGTTTGTCCACACAAATTTTAAAAAAATTAATTTGGTCTATCTTTTTTTTAAGAAAATTTTTTAGGTCAAAAACTCCTTCCCTCTGTTCCAAAATTATTGTCCAGTTTGAAATTTCAATTTTAGTATAATTGGAACTAGAAATTAAAACCCAAACTGGACAATAATTATGGGACGGAGGAGTAATAACATAGCTCGAGTCCATCTAAAAAATTATATAATAATAATATCGTGTAAGTCCATGTAAAAGTCAATAGTTCTTGTTAAGTGTAACATCAAATAATCAATCCACCTTGATCATCATTGATGTATATTCAATTTTTAGTTCAACTCACCGATTCACTTCTTTTTTGACCCTTGATTATATCCATTTTTTTTTTTTTGAAAAAAAATTTAAATCACACAACAATGCCTCGTCTTCTATATTTTTCAGTTTAAATTGTAGTTACATAGTTTCGAACAATAAGGACAGAGTTTCCTCGTGCATTTTGATTGTACTGACTACTTTTTTTTTCCAAAAAAAAAGGAAAAAAGAAAAAAAAGACACAGAAAAACCACAAAATGAAGATTGCCACTAAGTTTAAGCTCTAGAAGATATGGTCAAAGTGAATACATATGGTGAAAGGAAATCACCAATAATCAGAATTTCTGACATAATCGAAGCTCTCAGCATTTCCAGGAAGGGAAAAATGGAGAGAAGCTAATCTCTATCCTTTCCAAAGTCATCATAAGCACAGAAATACAAGCGCAAGCCGCTCAACGCGAGCATCACAGAACTAAAATGTATCACGAACTACCACCATATTGAAAGAGCATGGCAAATCAACCGAAAAGTATTAGGAGAAACTAACTACAACGAGATACAAGATTATTACTAATGCAAAAGAAAATTCATTCACATAATGTCAAAACACAGTCGTGATTCATTCCCAAAACAAGCAATTCAAACATCCACAGCCAACCAGTCCTTTTGAACAAAGAAAAAAGAAACAGAAGTTTGAAAACAGAAATCCAAAAAAAGCAAGACAATGTTGCCAGACAGATTTATTCAAGATCCAGCATGGCTGGAAACAGGTACTCTGACACCAGAGACATTCAGAGATCCATCACGGCCAGACAGAGCTACTTGACACCACAGGTCATTTAGAAACCCCCACGGAGACGCAGGACAAGATGCAGAGTGGACTCCTTCTGGATGTTATAGTCAGCCAAGGTCCTTCCATCTTCCAATTGCTTACCAGCAAAGATCAACCGCTGCTGGTCTGGTGGGATACCCTCCTTGTCCTGGATTTTTGCCTTGACATTGTCAATTGTATCACTGCTCTCCACCTCAAGGGTGATGGTCTTTCCAGTCAATGTCTTCACAAAAATCTGCATTCCTCCCCTCAACCTGAGCACCAAGTGAAGAGTGGATTCTTTCTGAATGTTGTAATCAGCAAGAGTCCTACCATCTTCCAGTTGCTTTCCTGCAAATATCAACCTCTGCTGGTCTGGGGGAATACCCTCCTTGTCCTGAATCTTCGCCTTGACATTATCAATAGTATCACTGCTCTCCACCTCTAAGGTGATGGTCTTGCCGGTAAGAGTCTTCACAAAGATCTGCATGCCTCCCCTCAACCTGAGCACCAAGTGAAGTGTTGACTCCTTCTGAATGTTGTAATCAGCAAGGGTCCTGCCATCCTCAAGTTGCTTTCCAGCAAAAATCAACCTCTGCTGATCTGGTGGGATGCCCTCCTTGTCCTGGATCTTAGCCTTCACATTATCAATGGTGTCGCTGCTTTCAACCTCAAGGGTGATGGTCTTGCCAGTGAGGGTCTTCACAAAGATCTGCATACCACCCCTGAGACGGAGAACCAAGTGAAGGGTAGACTCTTTCTGGATGTTGTAGTCAGCTAGGGTCCTGCCATCTTCAAGCTGCTTGCCGGCAAAGATCAACCTCTGCTGGTCTGGGGGAATACCCTCCTTGTCCTGGATCTTGGCCTTCACATTGTCAATGGTATCACTGCTTTCCACCTCAAGGGTGATGGTCTTTCCAGTGAGGGTCTTAACAAAGATCTGCATCCCTCCTCTCAAGCGGAGCACCAGGTGGAGGGTTGATTCTTTTTGAATGTTGTAATCAGCCAAGGTACGGCCATCCTCGAGTTGTTTTCCGGCAAAGATAAGCCTTTGCTGATCTGGGGGAATCCCCTCCTTGTCCTGAATCTTGGCTTTGACATTATCGATGGTGTCGCTGCTCTCAACTTCGAGAGTAATGGTCTTTCCGGTCAGAGTTTTCACAAAGATCTGCATCTGTTCATAACAACAGACCGATGCACTCCAAATATTAGACGAAAATCCAGAAAAAAAAACAGCACAAATTATAAAAGCTCAAAACTTTAATCAAGATAATTTAATTTCCAGACAAAGATCAAAGAAAGAAATACACGGGTCAAAAAATCCCAAAGAATCCGACTTAGCCAATAAAAAACGAATCAATTCAATCAAGAAACCGTTTCAGAGATTAATCCGATGATATCGACCAGAGAAATAAAACAGACTCCATAATCGGAACGGGACGTATAACTAAATAGCAGAAATTACCGACGGAAAGCTACGTCACAAAACCCAAATCAATCATAATCGATTCCCCCAATTATCCACCAAATAAAAGCCTAAACGGCGATGAAGGCAACAACACGAAATCTCACGTAAAAACTAATCCAGAAACAACCAAAAACTCAACAAAGATATCATAATTGATTCCCCAAATTCCAAAAAATAAGAAACCCTAATCGACGATTTAAGGCAACACGAACACCAAATCACAAATCAAAAACTAATCCAGAAACTACAAGAAATTCACACGAGATAATAAAGGAGAAAACACTAAGAAGAATCAAAATACCTTGAGGAGAGAAAAAGGAGAAAGCTGTTGTTATCAATTGAATCGTAGGAGGCGGAGAGAAGAATAACTCTTTCTAATGCTTTGGTGTGAGAAAAGGGGTCACGGCGGATGGCCCTATTTAACAGAGTAGTGAACCGACTTACTCCGAAACAGCCTATTAGAATGCGCCACGTTGTTGCGGAAAACGCCGTAGACTAGTCCAATCCGAAACTTGATAAGTCCTAGTGCACCAAAAAGTTTTTTTTGCCCACCTCTATTTCTTTTTTTAATTACACACTAAGTTCTTGATCCGTGCAATCGGACGAGTTTGATATTGAAATTACATATGTTACCTCCATATAATCAAATTTGAAAAGAGGACAATGAAGATTAGACATGATAGTAATAATAAAAAGTATTGGAAAAAGGTAAACTCAAGAGGAAAAAGTAACGTAATTTAAAAAAGAAATATCGATAACAAAAAATTTATTGAGATTAATTTTTATATCTCCAAGAAATGTAGTGAATTCACCATTATAACGATGAACCAACGATAATCCAATCTTCTATTTTCTCAGTCAGACCACAGAGAACTTATTGCTCTATTTACCGGTTTCGAAACTTGCACACCATCTCTCTCCAATATCCTCGGATGAGCCCAATGAATTGTAAGAGGAGAGAAATTTAGCCTCCTTGCACAATAATTATGAAGCATTAGTTACTTTAAGTTTTCATATTTAAACTCTGAACTAAGACAATATACACATTAAAGGAAGAAACAATCAGATAAGATTGCTTTAGGAAACATGCAAATAGTATATCACTTCAATTTAAAGCTCACCTTGTAGAACATTACGGAGTTGAACTGATAGATGAGTCCAGATTTCATAATCTGCATGTGAAAATCATCAAAGAAATTAAGTAATTAACTTGTTTGTTGCCATTATTAAGTAATCTGCATGTGAATATTACTTCTTTCTAGATTTATATATCGATACGAGATCAATAACCGAAAGCGGTTACTCTTCTCTAGATTTATGTATTGATATGAGACCAATTACAGTTTATTTTTTGGGAATTATTTGATGTAAATACAGTTATGGCGCATTAAACAGCTTAATTTTAGGATTGAGGGAGGCTGGCAGGATGAGTTAAAACGACAGGATTATTAGAGGTACTATTTGGTGGGCAAAGTTTTAAGGAGAGGTCGCCACTTGGAATTTTAGATTGTTTTGGGTTTTGTTAAATAACTATAAATAAATATTGGACATAAACTTTTGCGGTTCAGGACTTTCTCACGATTTTGTTTTGTTAGTCAGATTTCTTTTTTTGGATTTAGGTGAGGAGATTTTTTAGGAAATAAGGACATTTGGATTTTGAGAATAAAGTGATTTTTGTTATAATGTGGGTTATAGATAGATAGATTGTTTTTTCTTTAATATTTTTTTTTCTTTTTTACTTTGTTTGGTCATTGTCAGAAAATCCCAGAGTTTGATTTAGTAAAAATGTGTGTGCAATTCATACTTTCCTATCTTTTGTTTTGGGTATATATATTCAAAATCACTCCTCTAAGTACACCACGGGTCGCAGGAGAGCCATCGGAAAAAATGGGATTTGGGCCACAGATGCAGGTGCCGCAGAGAGAAAGGACCTCATACCGGAGAGATAAGGGGACAGCTATTCAGCCTACCAAGTCAGCTGTCAATAGTCCTAAGGTTGAGTCCTACTTTGACGCTTAATCGAATGATAATGATGAAAATCTAAACTTTAATTTTAGCGTTCAGAAGGATGTCAACTAGGGGGTCTGGCTGTCTATGCCTTCTGCAGAAGGGGGGTTAGGGAGAAAGGTGTGGAAAGATGCGGGTTCGAGTAAGGGTGCTGGCGAGTTTGTTGGAGAAACGGGTCGTCTGTAATATCTTTGAATTTCGACGTGTTAGGTTAAATATCCATTTTAAAACTTATAATGATAAAATAAAATGAAATGATAGAATGTCATAAGGTGATACACGTAGCTTTGTTGATTATGCTAATCTATTATATGTATTTATGCATAAAAGAAGGAAGTTTTAGGACCAAACATGGTGCCTTCATTAAAAGGGTTGAATTTTAAAAGGTATAAAAATTAGATTGATTGATTAATTGTTTTCAATATAATATAATAATAATAAAAATAGCAATAATAATATTAGTAGTAACAGTAGTAGTAGTGCTTAGTAGTGGTGTTAGTAGTATTTTCTTTAGAAGCCGATCTATCACTATGAATATTATGATTAATAGTCGTGTATAGAAAAGTTGAGTGTTAGAGGCCGTCGAAACCTTTACACTTGATAGTTTAATGACCTTGAAAATTCCATTCGCAGATCAAGTGCACAAAGACTTTGGGTTCATTGATGGTAGTTGTGAGTAATTCTCACTCTTTTAAAAATTGGGAGTATGAGAATATATATTAAAAGTCACTTTAACCTCGAGCACATTTTTATATGTTATTGAGATATTAAACGCATGTCCTTGAATGACCCGAAGGTGTACTTTATCGCCTCGAGATATGTGTTCTGGGTATTACTGTATCTGAGATAAAATGATATTGATATGTGATTGAACGTTATTGATGACTGGTTACTGGATTGAGTATGATCACTGAATGTGTTGCTTCTGGTGATGTACTTTATCAGACCAGGACAACTATTGTTGTTATTGATTGATTGTTATGCAATAATATGTGATTGTTGCTTCGGTGGACTCTGTTCACTTGGAGCCTGGGCCCTGCCTTTGTTAGGCAAAACCTTCTGGGCCAGCATCGGGCTTGGTCGCCAGGTTAGCTTACCTAGGCTATTGTTGTCTGGATGGATGTCGTACTCATGGGTTCAATTGGTGGCCACGAGGGGTTGAGGAGAAGATGTTCACATTGAATCGTTATCGTTGTTGTATTGTTGAAATCTGACTTGGAATTCGTCTTCGAGCCACGTAGGCTGTTTGACGCACGGTTCTTGCTAAGGTTTTCCTATATCCACTCTATTGTTAATTGATTTGTGTGAAATAACGGATTGTTAAATGATTACATGTGAATTTTGTTTTATTTTCGAATATTATTTTATGAAAATATCCTTATTAAAAATATCGTAGTAGAATAATGAGAACCTCACTGAGCTCGGCATTCACTCACTTTTATATTTCATTCCCCTTATCCCACTCCCATGTTTAAAACGGATCGATGCAGATGAGTCCAAAGGAAGCAAGACTGTGTGCAAGAGATATTGTTTATTGATAGGTTGTAATATGAGATGAGATAGGTTTTAGTGAGCACGTTAAGTCGATGTTTAGAATTTGTGTTAGAAGTAAATAAAAGAATTGCGCCTTGGGCGAGAATCCGGCAGACGGCTCAATTCGTAGTTAAGTACGATATATGAAAGCAGATAGGTGAGTTGGGTCGTCACATCATCGGGTGGGCAAAAAAACCAGACAAATGTGGAGCGATCGGGGGTAGTGGCTGATAGGAATCATGATGGATCTGGGGCGTTTGGGCTAGCCGAGAAGGCCCCGAGACAATCCCAAATGCAATTCAGAGTAAGGAGCCAATGAGCCAAGTAGCCGAGGGAATGGTGTTTGGGCTTGGCCAAATGGCTTCTATGAGGAAAGAACTAGGTCTGACCCATTGAAATACCAGAATGTCATACCAGTGAAAATTGGACTTGATCCAACAAAACATCAAACTATTATAATTATGGACAGCCCGATTCAAACACCCAAAGGCCAAGGTAGACCAAATGAGTTTGATCCTGGAGAAGACTGGATGATGGATGGTGACTTTTGTGGTCTACTAGAGGATGAAGCCATGAATGAGGCTGTGGCATTGGGATCAATAGTACCAAGTAACACGTGAGGAATAGTGCTTTCTCTTGTCTTATATTTCATTATGAATAAAGTCAATTGCAAGTATTAAGGGGTTGACTCGAACGTAGGTTTATTTGTTGGATTCACTATTAAATGTGAGTATTGTTGGGTCATCTCGACCGAGTCGGGATTGGACTATGACAAGATCTCTTTGTTGCAGATTATAGTATCTCAAATTGTTAGGAGGTTGCCTTTTCAAATCAGTATCATTATTTTGCTCACTCATATGTGATAGTTTAGTAATTTAGGCCATTCGGCCTCTTTCATTGTACCAAAAAAAGTAGAATAAAAAAATTCACTCCTCTAACTAATCGGAATTCAAGTTAGATAAGTATCTTTTGAGGAGTAAAATTTTTACTTTCAAGCCACTTAGAGTTAGAAAAATGGTAATAGATGAATATAGTCATGGCTTGCTTCTTTTGTATGTGTAATGTGAGTATGTAGTATATTTTATTTCCTCCATTCAAAATAAGAGTTCTAAATATTGAAATACTTCAGTACGGTAATAACTTTGTAATTTGTTGTCTTATAAATA